TATGCGAAGTTCAAGGGGAACTTCAGGAGAGGCTCAAACAGAACATTGGATTAATTCAAATAGAGCTTCTGGGAGAACTTCAAGGCGTGTGCAAGAGAAGTTAAAATGAGGGGCTCGTGGATTTTTCTATGTTTCGAGGGGTGCATCAATTAGCATGGGACCGAAGATAGTACCAGAGCTGAGCCAAAAAGTTGAGCACGTTTCTTCGGGAGCTTCTAGTCTTAGAGTTAACTCTATGCTATTAGTGAACTTGAGTTCAGGAATAGTTCAGAGAATTTCAAAGGAGTCCAGAAATCTTCTGATGGAGTTTAAAGAACTACTGGAGAATATATTGATTACTTATCTAATCCAGACTCAACGTTCCGTTCGTTTAACCAAGGCCTTCTTCAGAAGCTCATGAAGTATTTATATACTATTACTACACCTTGCCCATTGCGCACCTATTCGTCTAGTTCCAGTGGGAACGTGCCCAGATAAACAATCTTAAACTTAAAAGGGATCCATCTGTGTCTGTTTGCCCTATATGCAATGGCAATGGCATCGTCTGTGTTTTTTTGTTTTTTTTTTTTTTGACGTATAATTGCGTGTTACGGCAACATATTGGGGGTGCAATTTGAAAAAAAAACCAAAATCGACCGCGTTACGAAAAGTGGTCAGGTTTTGACCACTTTTAACTCTGTCAATAGCGGATGGATTTTAATTCTAAACAAGCCAATCGATTAGATTTTTTTTCTTAAATCTGTTAAAATTAACACTTTATCAATTTTCAATAGTCCACTATTGAAAATTACACAAATTTCGAACTGTTGAAATGGTGATCAAAATCACTTTCCCTAACACAGATTTCAAAATTAAATTTCATCCCGTCTCGCCGAACGGTGCTTATTCAATCACCGTGTGTGGTGGTATCCGGTCGGTCGTCATCAGCAGCAGCAGCAGTGCTTTCGGCGTGTGACGTTGAACATTGTTCTCCAGTACACAACGAAAGGCTGCCCGCAAGCAGCGTGCTGCAGCTTACATGAGCGTCCAATCACCGAAAAAGGAGGAAGAAGTCGCATCGCTACTGATTGGATTCAGCAGCTGTTCGTGTGTCGCTGTGGGCCATCTATGTCAAGCGCGTCACCCTCGTTCCAAACAACATATAGTTCGCCAGCCTCATCCGTGTTGAACACCCTAATAGCTCAGCATTACTCAACCATCACGACAAAACGGTCCTTTTCAGGACCACCTTAAATTTGCTTAAGAGTATTTTCTGGACATTTGTCAAGGTCATCAATCGGATGTCAGTTCCCATAAGTTTAAATCTAACATACTATGATTTTTAAGGCAACATAGGGGATGCCATTTCAAAAAACCAAAGTCGGTCGCGGCATGAAAATGGTCTGATTTTGATCCGGAGATGATGGATATGAAATTTTTCTACGAGTCTGTTAAAATTAAGACTTTATCAATTATCACTGATTGCCTGCGCTTCCCCTAACACAGATTTCAAAATCGAATTCCATCCGGTCTCGCCGAACGGCGTTTATTCCATGACCGCGCGTGGTGGTGTACAGTCGTCATCAGCAGCATCAGCAGTGCTTTTGGCGTGTGGCGTTGTACATTTTTATCCAATACACAATGAAAGGCTCTCCGCCAGCAGCTAGCTATCAAGGCTGCCCTCAAGAGCCCTCGATTCACCGAAGAAAGAGGAAGAAGGCGCACCGCAACGGATTCAGTTTCTCGTTGTGAACCGCTGTTCCAATTATTAACAGCTCGCCAGCCTCTTCCGTGTTGTACACCCTAATAGCTCAGCATTACTCAACCATCACGACAAAATTCAACGGTCCTTTTCAGGACCCCCATAAATTATTGTTGTTTAAGAGTTATTTTTCATTGAATGTTTGCTCACCTTGCTGCCAACCTCATCATCCCCAAATCCCTTTGACAATGTACCCAGCAACCAAACGTTTGTGGTCAAATGCGTAACAGTATTGAAGTGGTACATAAAAATTCTCGCAATGACCGAATACCACATGACCTTGTCAATCCACTAGAAACTCTTCGAATTAAGGTAAGGTTTTCTCCGGGACACTAGAAAAAAGCAAACAAATTTCAAATTCATATTATTGGAAAATTTTAGCAAGAAATTCCTCCAATAAATTTTCCCTTTTTTTAATTATGCATTGAATAAACCAAAAATTCCGTGCGTTTTGTGCACGAAAATTTGTAATTTTGTCATCAGGAAACGAGCCGTTTCCGTGATGGGAAAAGTGGTCTCCCTGACACAGCCGCCGAATATTGATACCGAGCACGTAATCCTACGTCAAATTTACGGTCCTGTCTTGGATACAACCTGTTACTTTTTCAGTTAGTTTATTTATTAAGGATCAAATATGTCCAAAACGACTGTACGAAGCCGAGAAATGGTGAATAGTTTCATAATAATAATAAAAAAAAATCATAGAAACATTATTTATGGGTTAATCAGAGTATTCCAAGAAGGTAAAGGTTTTCTTGAGGTTTGCTATGGCTTTCTGCCGTACCCGCAACTAAAGAGCCTGAATTTATAACGAGAAGATATCTTATCCATTTGACAGGTCTTCTGCTCTATTGGAATGACTTTTCCTATGACTTTGACAGACAATCGATTGTTCCAATTTTGACATGTCGTCTCTTTATAAAATTCAGGCTCTTTACCCGCAACTACCTTTCTTCTTGCAACCGTTTTTCTTTGGCTTCCTCTACGTCATTTATCCGCTCCTTCTCGGTATAGTCCACTATCCTGAATTTGTAAAAATAATACGCTTCATTCTTATGCTTGAAAGCAGACGGCTACTGTTTCTGGAAATCAGTTTTCACCTCTCCACTGTTCTCGTCTTCAAACACCTCTTCCACAGCTTCCTTGCCGTCAGGCATGGCAAATCATCTACATTAATTTCGTGCATTCATTTACATTAATTTGCCTCTAACTTCTTCATCAACCAAATTACGTAAAGTAATGCTTATAAGGTTTTCTTATTATCTAAGAAAAACTTGTAATTAACTAAAATCTGAGTCTCTTATGTATGACGAACTAGAGCGAACAGAACATGTTTTTATTTTTCAGTGAATGTAATTTACATTCACTGAAAAACAATGGTGGGTTCTGTTCGCACTGGTTCATCATGCATAAAATATACATATTTGAGTTATTCACAAAAGTTATAATATCAAACCTTACAATAGCTTCATACATTTTACGGAACTCTGTTGATGAAAAAAGCTTCCAAATGAATGCACGAAATGAATGCAAATGATTTTCCATGCCTGCTTGCCGTTGTTGTCCAACGATGCACTTCCAGAAAGCCACCACCAGCACGATTGCTCTGGGTTACGCATCAGGCCATAATGCATACTTGTTTCAGATTTGAACTTGATGAAGATTGCCTTTTCCTCCGCAATCCTGTACGTTACATCCAACAGGATTCATATCGAATTATTTTACGAAATTGGCAATCTCGCTCATGGTGAGCTTCGCACTTCCATTTGAATAGGCAAAACAAAGGGTGTACTTGATTTTCACCATTCCCAAAATGTATGCTTCCAATGGCGTCGACAACAGACTAAATGTAGCCCCAATACTAGTTTGAAAATAAATTAATAACTGGAGATGACTTCTGTGTACCGGAACAGCCCTCAATGGAAAATAACCGATGGTTTCAGCACCGACAAACCGACATGAAACTAAAACTTAACTCTTGATCGAGAATCCATAACGGCGGATTCAAATGTGCAGCGATCCCATCTGTCAAAACCATAGAAATTTGTTATCTAGATAAAAATATTTTGCCCGGAATAGATTAGACACGAACCAACTCATACATTTAGTATGTGTGTTCGTGGCTAGGATACACATTTTTCGCGAACACGGCGGCAGATATCAGTTTTGTGCTTTGATCAGAAATTTGATGATACTTTGTATGATCATTCATGTCGGTTTGTCGGTGGTTTCAGTTTGAGAGCTGATTTCCACCCCCTTCTTCACACGCAATTGGACGACATCAGAGGGCTTATTTCACCAATCAAAACATGCGCTGGGACTATCGGTCAGCTTTATTTCCCTTCCGAAGATATGCGTGACCAGAGATTTTTAATTTTTAGAAAATGTCAACGACTTCACCACCGACGTTGTGAATAAATAAAACATTGGTATGATTTCCTCGACCACATTGTCCACATGAATATGGCTCACATACACATCAAACATTTACAACACACTTGACTCAAATATTAAGCCCAATTGAAGACTTTGAACAAATGTCATCTGAATAAAATAAACTTTTGTGTTCGTGCAGAGAAACATAATTTATATCGATTAATCAAACATTTAGTACGAGCTATGTGCAAATTGTTCTGCAGAAATCCTTAAATACATCTGCTGGTTGGCTAATCAGTCAAAACATTAATAATTATGGCTATTTTATGCAAGTTTATTTTTTCTAAAACTATCCAAGTCACTCCCTTCCTATATATTTTTTTTTCAACTTCAAACACAGACACATCTGTTTCACAACTTTTGTTTGATTAGCTACATCGTTTCCAATAATTTCGAAACCACTCACATACAAGACAGACGGAACGGTAAGTATGAACTAACATCTATCCGGAGTGAGACTTAGATTTTGGAAAATAATGACAAATAAGAAAACGTTCGCACAATTATAGTAGTACCGAGAAAGAAAGATATAACAGAAGATAAAATAAAGAGACAAAAATATTTAACAAAAGATAAACTAAATCTACTAAGCCAATTTGATTTTAGAGTAAATAAATTGTAATTATTGAAGTCACGAGTCACAGTCATTTTCGTGGCACATTTGCATTTGAATCAATCAATTTGAAACTGAAAAAAATGGCAAGAACTAGCCAATCAAACCGATTGTCAATAGAGAGCCAAAAGCGAGCCATTTTAGAAAGCGAAGAAAATAGTGGACAACTAAAGCTGAATGAAGGAAAATAAAATGAAAAACCGAAAACAATTGTACGCACGTTTAAATTTACTCTCATTTCCACCGGTTGTTGTTGGATCTACTTTTGCCGTTGCTGCTGGGGACACCATCGTCCTGGGCAGCGATTTCCTCGTCGATCAGCAGATCAAAGTTGCCGAGCATGTCCGGGCTGGGGATTTTGTTCCATCGGACACTGAAAGAAATTTCCCTTTTAAAATTGAATGACTTATGTTGTTGTTTTTGGGGGGCGAGCTCGTACTCTGGGATTCCATCCGGTGGCAGAACGATGTTCAAAATATTGTCGATCAGTTTGTACTTCAGTATCCGATCGTTGGCGGTCGTAGATGTGAGCGACGGAGATGCGTTGACCTCAACCAACCAAGGTTTCAGTGTGTTGTCGATGATGATGTCGTAGCCATAGCACTCGAAGCAATGCCGATCGCTTGCCATCACACTGGAAACGGCTTTGAGCGAGTGTACGATCAACCAGGTAATGGAGCCGAATAGTTTGTCGGTGACCTCCTTGCCACGAGTGCCTTCCAGAAAAAGACGTAGGTTCTGAACGCTCCACTTTCCACCGTGGTGGTTGTTGTATTCACCCTGGAAGGAGTGTTTGGTGATTTTTGTACTTGATGGTAATTGAAAAGGTTTAGGGAATAGGGTACGATACTTACGCCATGTTTCTGAACACTGACGTTGGTCAGGTGAACATACATATTATCCAGCTCTGTGACGCTGGTGTCGTATTTGACCGTACAGAATCGGCAGAATCCCAACCGGAACATGTATGCTTTGAGTGGTCGGAACGATGTTACTAGAACGTAGAGGCGGAGGTCAAACTTTTTGCCGCCTATGAGCAGAGGGTTCTCGATGTACCTGGGGTTGGATCACCATCACCAATAATGATAGAAAAAGATTGTCAAACGATTGAAGATAAGAATCCTTCCACCATATCCAGAACTTATTCAATCAAGCCGAATTATTATAACAAACATCGCATGAACACAATTTCACTCACCTTGAAATGACGTAGCTCTCCTTCCCGATTTGCGGATGAAATGACGTCTTCGCCTCTCTCGACCACCGTTTCAATTTGCTTAATTTATTGATCAAAAATATGCCAGCCCCTTGTGACTTCCCGCATGGCTTCATAATCCACGTACTCTGGGGATTCTTACGGTACTCCTCGACAAACATATTGTAATCGGCAGGCAACACAAACGTCACCGGAATGAAATCCAAGTACAAGTACTTCGAACCTCCGGGAATGTTCACTTCCGTCTTCTCCGCCAGTGGATTTCCATCCCGTTCCAGGTCCTTCCTGTAGCGCTTGATATTCTTTACCAGCAAATCCTTCCGCGATAGCTCGTAGTGATTCGGGAAATGGTTAATCAACTGGTTATCATGCATCCGATAGCCGCTGTCGACGCTGAAAATATTCCGACACGTCCCCGTTCCAGCCCAGTAAAAGTTCCAATCGTCATCGGCGGACACCTGAACCCATCCTCGTTTCTCAAAGTTGCTGATCAGCACCGACTTGTCCAAATCCGTGCAGAAGCATATCTTCATCCGTTCGTGTCCTGCAGCGATTCTGAAGTCAGTGCAAAACAATTCAAGGTTAGGAGCAAATTTACCGCGTCGCATCTTCTTGAATCTCGTAGTCATCTAACGATCCACGATCCAGGGTAGGTCAATCTCACTCGAATGGCACCCTTCGACTGAAGCGTGCCCGAAATTATGCCATCCCCAAACTTGAGACCTACCTACCTCAATTCGAAAACCGCGGCTGGGTTATGCTTATGCAACAGCGACAGCGAATGCGGTTATTCCAATTGAAAATACATAAAATGGCCTATACGACCGCCATTCCCGGGACATGCCACAACGATACACCTACCTGCCGTACATGGTGGCCAAATTGGTTGAAACCCGCTTCGGTTCCGAAGTTGACATCCCCAGCTAGAGCAACTCTATGGAAACCCACGCCACACAGCGACCGCACTAGGTAGGCAGGTTCAAAGCCTCCAAAGCCCAGAAGAAAGCGAGAGTCACGCAATGATCTAATTTCCGGTACCAGTCAGCCGATGAAACAATACACAATAGTGCATATAGCATAGCCATCATAAACAATAAATCGGATTGGAATAACATACCTTCACTATCCCTGGCGGTCTGGCGGTGGTTTACAGCAACGGCAATAACTAGAACGTCGTCCCAGTTATTTATGCAGTTCGGGTCACGAAAGCCACAGCAGCTGCCAAGCGAAAGTGCTACTATATGTATAGTCTGCGCCAGAATTGTGCTCCTATTTTATGCACATATGCAAATTGTCAATCAATTTCCACAGGATTTGAACTTGGCTGCGAAACGAACTGTGGGTGTTGTTTTTGCACGTATTTTTTCCACTATGATGGGTTCAAATAATAAACATCTACGGGTGCATGGTGCTGCTTCCAGGGCGACCACTCCACAGCGATCTACATACCGACGCGTTTGAGGAACGAAAAGGTGAGCGTGCGTCGCGGCAAGTGTTACTATGATTACCACGTGGACTCGCAGATTCGTTGTTATGCTTTGTTATGACTCGTTAGTGGCGATACGGTTTTTCCCTGGGTACTTCGCAATTGCGAACTTAATTTGTTGGTTTAAGGGTAGGAATAGAGCAAAAAATACTGCTAATCGCAATTTTATCGGCTAAAAAAAGTTTATCGTATTGTCTACTGCCGATCAGGAAGATTTCCGATTTTAGCTTTCTCAATTCGGCATTGTTCAACGTTTATTGTGGCCTTTTGGATTACCTCTAGACTGAGAAAGCCAAATCATCAAACATAGGGTTAACTACCCCATTTCCGGCCTATTAAGCATAACCCGCACTTAGTCTTTCTTAATCTCGTTCAGTTTAGCACCAAACGGAATGTTACTTTTACTGATGGCTTCCAAATTTATTTACCTTTCCGTACGTACCGTAAGATTTGAAAACGAGAAACCAATCGTTGAGATATTGTCAAAAGTCCAACACTGCTTCTTGACGCCAAACTCGGCCTACGGATTTTAAACTCGCCCTAACGCATTGAAACGCAATTGAAACGCCAATGAATACACTTCGGCCTATCGGATGAAGATAAAAATAGATTCGGTCGGAGCGCTTCTTTTGTTTTTGGGAATAATGGGTACAAACCTTCATACCATGCGTTCTCATTGACTTCGTTCGGTAGCTTATTAACTAAAGTATCGTGATGAAGTAATGAAATTGGGTTGTTAGCGGAATGCTAAATAAAACAGCAAAAAAGGTTATCTTCCATTTAATTCCACTTAATTAATTTTGGTATCCATGACAGATACGTATTTCGACTACAATGTGCAGTCTTCATCAGTGTCATTCCCACTAAAGAACTTATCTAAATCTAACCCCCTTAAGTACTCATCCCCTAGGTAAAAAAGTCAAGATCATAGGTATAAAAATGAAACTACAATGTGTTGAATCGGAACCTACCTAACTAATAAAAACCAAAGATTTAAGTAAGCTAAAGGAGACAAATCTATACAACTCTCTAATAAGGAAAATCCCCAAAGGCTTGGTAGCCATCATAATGAAGTAATGAAATTGGGTTGTTAGCGGAATGCTAAATAAAACAGCAAAAAAGGTTATCTTCCACTTTTTTATTAAAGTATCGTACCAAACGCATGATTGACTTGTTAACTCTGAAATCATGGATTTATTTGAAGTTTTCTGCTCGATAGGCCCAAAATGGGCGATTAGACCGAAGTATTTCTCTACCCTACTAGTCTCGAAACCTAACCTATCAGGAAGTTAATTTTTAAATATCGCATTTTTCGATGCTGCAAAATATATTTGGCAATCCGATTCGCATGGGTCCAACGCCTTTCCTAAATCGATTAACTTGTTACTAATTTGTCTAAGTCTACGATCTTGAAAGTTTTATGAAATTCGAGATCAATCATTCAACGAAGTATTTTCACAAACTAATGCATGTAAATGATAGAGCTTTCTGTGATGAACAGTGTTGTTCCTACACACAAATAACAAAAATTGCTCAAATAAAAATATTGTATTTTCAAATTGAAAGTTTCTCAAAACTCGCAGTGTCAACTATGAAAATATGTAAATCTAAAGTTATGTTTTGATGTGAAAGTGCTTCTTTCAATTTTGACGTGTAATTTTCAGAGTGCATTTTTTTAAATGAAAAGTTATTCAACTGTTAAAAATACTGACATTTTTCATGGCCAGCACTGAACCTTCATTTACCGCCTTTTTTACATTTTTAATAGTGCGTTTCCGCCGGAAAAGTAGTGGAATCAATCCGGAACAAGTGCAAAAACGTGAGCATCGATTGATAATGTTATTCTGATTGTGCGACCCTTTTTTTTATTGACGACAAAAACTAGGACAATGATGAAAAACGGAGAAAAATGGTGAAGTTTCATGAAGATTTCGTTCTCTGGCATGGGTGGAACCTACGTTTCATAAATACTTTTAAATGTTTCAAAACAGCTTCCAGTAAATGATTCTCTTAACCCGGTCGTGGTGTTGACCTATATGATTATATTCAGGTGAGTGGTTAGTGTGCGGTATCAATACCCCTCGAGTAGAGATGGTAGCCATTAGCTACCTATCGCAGAGCCCCTCGGCTTTCAGGCACGGCAAGCGATAACCGTTTGCCCCGTTATACGACGAGTAATAGCAAGCATCGCCACCCGAATAGAAATTTACATTAGCCCAACGTTTGATTTTGATGTCTACATCAGCATCGAAATCAAATGTATGCCTGATGTCAAACATTAGAAAACATTATGATTTAGTTGTATTTAAGCAACGTAACATGGTGTATACATCAGAAATTTTGGAACAAAATTTTGCCATTCTAATGTCGGTCTGACGTCAAAAATTTCAATCTATTGACATTAGAATCAAACGTTTTAAGGATGTTTTCAGATGTAAAAAACGTTAGAACTAAACGTTGTTCGGATGTTTTTAAATGTAAACGTTTTCTGATGTTTTCTAATGTAGATGTTTCCTGATGTTAGAATCAAACGTTTTTCGGTTGTTTTCGGATGTAAAAAACGTTAGAACTAAACGTTATTCGGATGTTTTTATATGTAAATGTATTCTGATGTTTTCTAACGTAGATGTTTCCCGATGCTAGAACCAAACATTTTTTGGATGTTTTCAGATGTACACAACGTTAGAACTAAACGTTGTTCGGATGTTTTCAATTGTACTTCGTGTTTGTTGTTCTCTGATGTTTTCAGATGTACAAAACGTTTAAAGTAAACGTTGTTTGAATGTTTTCAAATGTAGATGTTTACTAATGTTTTTAGATATACAAAACACTAGAATCTTACTTTTCAAATGCTTTCAATTATATTTACAACACATTAGAATTAGAAACATGATCGTGTAAACACTACACACCATTGTTGTTAGATAACATCATAAAAATGCGTACATAATAGTCAATGCTGAAGCTCCCGTTTCCCACCAGTCAGATAACTGACCTTAGCTAACCAAATATCATTGCGGCAACTCTCTATGCGGCAGGGGAACTATGCCATTAGCGCGCTAAGAGTTATTAGACCACTGACATAGGCGCCTATTCATGGGTGACGAGGCACTTGGTGACATTACAGCGAGCTTGGCGATTGTTATAGCATTTTTGAGTGAACTACCAGACAATCATGACAATAAGATCGCTGCGCCTCCAGATCTCCCTTTAAATCGACCCGCTGTGCCAATTTGTCAATAATGCATGACACTTTGGACGTGGATCGGGATGATCCACAAATGCGGAAAGTTTTGGGCTACCAGTCTTCTACCTAATTGACAAACTGCAAATATATAATAAACAAAATTATTGTGCATGAAAAATATGACAATGTACAATGCTCGAGGAACACTGGGAGTTTTCGAACGACGCGTGCTTAGGAATGCCGGACAACAATCCCGCAAAAATGGTGTTTTCCTCAAATCCGGCCGGTACAAGACGCAGAAAAGTACAGCGTGCTAGGTGGTTAGACCAAGTGGAGCAAGATGTAGGAAGTGTGGGATGCTCGAGAAATTGGAGACAAGCAGTCAGGGACCGAGTTAGTTGGCGCAACTTTGTTATACAGGTCAAATCTTGAGGGACGTCGGACCAGCAAAAGTAAAGTAAGTATCTTATACGTTTGCCAACATTCCACGACAATATATGATTAGGTTTTCACTTGGTATGTAATGAACAACAGAGATACGCGATAATTCGTATAGTTTCTGCGATTGATGGTTAATTTTAAATGTACGTATAGTACTATCAACAATCAATACGAAACTAACGATTTTAAATTGGCTCACCACTTTAGTAGCCTATTGGTCCCAAGCAAACGATTAACGTACCCTATTCTAGTTGAAATTCTATTACTACACTATGTTTGTTTTGATTCGCTATGAAAGTTTGACAGATAACATCAGGGGTGTGTGGATTCATGCAGAACATGCAGGGGTGAGTGAAATAGCTTGGGACTGCTTGGGACCGTTGTTCTGGTACTGAGTGAGCCAAAAATAATAATGATTTTCTTCGGGACCCAGTGGTCTTAGAGTTACCTCTATGGATATACTGCACGTCACGTCGTCAGTAGTGTCGGTCGCATCGCGTGATGGGAAGACAGCGCTCCCGGAGCAGACTTCGTGACCAAGCGGAGAAGAAAAACAGTGGTGAGGGTAGCTCGGTACCTGCCTCAAATAGGTACGCTACTCTACCCACCGATGTTGGGAATACCAACCCAGTCCCGGTGAAGCGGACGAAAAAGAGGAAGAAGAATCAAGGACAGTACGATGGCACGAGCGGACGCGACAATGTTACCGCGATGAACGCCAGCGACATCGG